CTCTTATTCGCTGACTGAAAACTCAAGGCATCTAGCATTGACGTCTACCCACTATCCTTTCAATCAAAGCCAATCAGAGCTTGGCGTCGTTCTGACGTCACCGCAGCTCCTCCGCAAGAAGCAGACGACTTGCTGTCCGGACAGCTGAGACATGCGTAGTACTTAAGATGTTTCTAATATATGCTGGCAGAAACTAAGGGGGAGGACGATACGAGAGTGCGAGGTGAGGTCAAGAGGCCGAGCTCTGGTTGGAATGTTAGTTTGCAGACGTAAACCTAGCTGCCTTTGTCTCCGCTGCACTCGTCAAACGCGTTATGACGCGGAACGCAAGCATCCGCTGTTTGGCTATCGTATTCGAACGCGTTCGACGAGTTCAGCAGAGGCAATGGCAGCTAGCTTTACGTCTACCCACCAGCATTCCAACCAGAGCCCGGCATTCTGACGTCCCCTTGCACTCTCGTCTCCTCCTCTTCCTCAGTTTGTGCCCACATAAAAGCATTGTTTCATTTATTTAAATTTATTAGGTTGTTGTTTCTTTTTACCCGGAGTCTGCTAAACGGCTAGCGTAGGTAAAGCTCTTGCGTACGGTCCACTAAAAGTGTCTGATAACAAAGATGTTAACTCAAACTTGCCTCCTATACTGTGTGCGCCCCCTACGTTGTCGAACAGAATCAATGTGGACGCATTACGGTTATGCTCCACTTGATACCCGCCGATCCTCACTTGCAACAACGGTGGATGTTGCGTTAGACTAAAATATACTTGCTGAGGCAGGCCACGGGAGCCACCATGCCGGACCGCGTGACCCGGGTGCAAGACGGGACCACTTGTCCTCGTGGACGGCTCTCCCTCGTCCTCCTCGGGGGACTAGTAACCGGCACACCCTTCGGGAACATCCTTACTACTAGCACACGTTCGCCCCTCCGGGAACGAACCTCCTACTACCGACGCTCCGGACGTGTCCATTTCCTACGTAAGCGGGCCCAAAAAAGTGGCCGCGGGGAGTCTCGTCGGGGGATGGCCATGCTCCACAGAGTTATCTTCCTTTTGTAATTCTTCCTTTTTCCGCGAATCTGCCTATTGCGGCAGCGCCAATACAGTGGACTTTATTGAGTGCAACGTGTGTCGGCATATAAGTCAATAATAATAATAATAATAATAATAATGGTCATTCCGTTTTCAGCAAACCCGTATTTCCCAGGCTTACTGTGATGTTGCTCGTGTCCCCTCGACGCAACATCAAGGTAGTTATCGGACAAACCCGCCGTAACCGCAAAGGCAGCGTGCTGTAGAGTGGGTTTGACAAAGCAGTCCTTGGGTAACAAAAGAAACCCTCAAAGTTCGAGCGTGCACACGCAGCTAAAGCGCAATATAAGCCTTCGGGAGTGTGCTGGAGCCTGGACATCTCAAGGGGAGTCCCTGGGATTCTTGTCCTGTCAGTGAGTGACCATGGAGAACCACAAAGAGAGCTACGGACAAGGGCGAAACGAATGGGTGGATAGGACAAGCGCTTCCGCTGTTCGCTTCTTCGACTCGTCCTTGGCCCTAGCGCTCTTTGTGTTTCGCTATGTTTAGCCAACTAGCCCAACGGTTGATACAACACCCGCTATGTCGACAACACGACTGGCACCGTCTACGCTATAGTTGTGTCGACAGGAGCTTTGTTTTTTGGAGTTATCGATGAAGAAAAACAACAGGTGCACTCGATGTTGCGAGTTTTACTAAAACGACAAATGAACTGGAAGAACTCAATTTCTGAGCAAAAAATAAGGCACGAAATCGCAGTTTCATTTACGAGATGCCATGAATGCCACAAAACTGACACTCGATCCGAGTCAACAGTCCAGTAATAATGGCGGTCGGGCAACCCGACGGCTTCCAAATTTTTAAAATTCCCCGATAATAAATACATGGAATTAGAGTCGGTAAACTGGCGCCGCCCCACTCAAAACGGTGAAGAAAAGGCCCATTTAACTTCGATTGCCCGGCGTGTTGAATCACTCCCTAACGTTAATAAGCAAATATACTTGCCTTAGTTCTTTTCTAGGTAATGGCAGTCGACCAAACATTTGTGAAAAATGAGCATCAATCATCCATTGAGCTCGCAGCCAGAACAAGCGGCCACGTGGCCTAGAGTGCCTAACCTATGCCACCAACGTTAATCATAGCCACGCTCTGGGGTCGGAAAAGTAGAAAACGCGTACTGAGGTCCAGGTGTTGTTAGAGTTCGGCTATTCTCACCGCCGCTGTTGTTGGACACAGGCCACTACCCGAGTGTCCGACGAGGCCTTGATTCTTAAGAGCCGAGGTCGAGTGCTCACGCAGTTCTCGTGTCCAATCCATGAGACGCGCTCGAACATCGTCAGGCGGGTAATTTCAATCCCACAATTACGTCATCAAGCTTCGCGAAGGCAAGACTTGCAAGAAATAGTCCCCTTTTATCCTCGCAATTTCACTGCGACCAAGAACCTTCTGAATTAGTGGCCGTCGATACGAGTATACTTGCGCCAGACGGACCAGTTCGCCTCTGCAAAGTCATGAGCATTCCACCTTGATATCTTTTCAATACCCCTTTAACCTGCTGTGTGGAACGTACCTAGGGTGCCTTCATGTGAAAAAAAATTGCGTCCATCGTAAAAAAATTTATATGTAAAAAAAAATTTAAAAATATTTAAATAGTTTACAAATATACATACAAACAAAGCTCATGATTTTTAAGTGTCTTTTTTGTATTTCAGGATACAAAAATGAGGGGTCGAGCCTAAAAAAGAGTTGTTAGGTTTAATTATCTTTTTCTAAAAAAAATTGCTAATTACGTGTCCGGCTTGGACAAAAACTTATATGTTTTGTCACCCAAAGTGTGCACTGCGGTTGATTTAGGAAGTCCGAATGAATCGAAAAATTTAAGATCATATGCTAGAAAAAAAACACGTATAAATATTCTTTTTTTTTTTTTGCGCGCGCGCGACGATCAAGGACTGGAATTTACTGTCCTTCGACTGTATACACCTTCCAAATATTTAGTGTTTTAAGTCTTCTGTTAGAAAATTGATGTAACCCAAAAGCGCGAAACACATGCGCGTCAAAACTGTCCAATCCGGCGTGCGAACTGTCGGAAAGATGGCTGCTCCGAATTGCCGCACAAGACGGTTCGAGACACATGGCTTCCGACGCGTCGTGGCGTCAGTCCGTTCAGCCCCGCCCAGTTTTGGGTAACCCTCTACCGAATTGATGGATGGATGCTAATGAATGTATTTATAACGGGGGCTAGCGCGCGCCACCTAGCCTAGATACTTAAAATACTCCCCTCGCCCTTGGTTTTCCTGACTTTTGAAACAAACAGAATATTTTTATTACATTCTATTAATGTGTGCGTGTTTACTTTTCAGCTCAACATCCCTTATTCGCGATAGACCACAGCGGACCTTAGGAGCCATCCCAGCGAAGCGAGCACTGCGTACAAACCACGTACCGCGCGCATTGCTGCGTCTCTTCCGAAGCTCACATAACACTCACACGACATTGGAATGGCTCGTAGTGTCCGCTGCTGTCCATCCGAAGATGAAACGGAGTATATTCGGATTTCGACGGCCTCGATCGGTCCCAGAAGGCCGGCTTGCTATGGCGCGCGAAATCAGCAGCTTGTTTTGTGCGCGCGGAAAAACTCCCCGGTGGCGTTCATTTCCTTGAGGCCCGCTTCAGACAGTGCAACTTTTCCAGCAATTTTGAGGGTGCTGGCGGGTTGTTCCTTAGCTTTCCCTAGATCGACACGGATTGCTGAGATCGGGTCCGGCTCGAAACGGACGAGCAACTCGAACAACTCGGAGCCGTTTGAAGCGGCAGCAGCCAATCAGGGACGCGATATTTTCACGTGACGCCCTTGTGGTGCTGGTGATGACAGCTAAAGACTTGGTTCTGGTTTGAAATCAATCGTTTTTGGAAATAAACCTTTTCAGAAAGATGAGTTAGTATTCTCAACGCCATTCGAAGATATAAAAACATGTTTTTAGCGCGTAGCTGGGCGTCTAAATAGTGGAAAAAAATTCAAAGTGAATGATGATGATAGCAAGTCGTAGCAATTCGGTTGCTGCGTGTGAACGCAGACGGCCCGTGTTGCTGGTGTTGCAACGTCAAGTTGCTGGGGGAAATTGCTCCGTCTGAAGCGGGCCTGACAACAACAACTCGCGTCGCGTGACGCAGCGCGCACTGCCGCATCCGCTTCCCCGAGCCACGTAGCGCCTCCTCGCCCGATCGGTCCGAAAGTCACGCGACAACATAACCTTCGCGCCATCCGTGCTGCCATTGGCTGCTGCCCTCCGAAAATCGGACAGTAGTGCGGCGAATATCTAGCAAGTTGGTCGCATGCCGGCGCCGGACGGAGCCCCCTTCCGACGCTCCGGTGCGAGGAAACCCTCGCCTCCGAACGTCGTTCCGGCGGTTTGCACGTCGGTTCCGACAGTTTTGACACGGATGTGTCTCGCGCTTTAAGCTTGAACTGTTTAAAAAAAGGAGAAAAATCATTCGCGATCTTAGGCGCCCGAGAATTACCTTAGGCCATCGTGCGGCTCCAAAATATCCGAGTTTTCTCGACATACGTATTTATTATTATCAAGTTCCTACGAAACACTGTCCTTTCAGTTCGTCTCCATCCACCGAAATTCGCGTTCCTGATTAAACAATATCGCGTTCTCTCGCACACACCATCACTCTGATGTCGTTGGGGAGACTTTCACGGGAAACGGGACCAACTACGAACAAGCAAAGGGGGCGGCGCAGGCGTTTACTCGAGATCCAATCCGTCACAAAAGCAGCGTCCCGGACGCGGAACTTCCTGCGAAAAAACGTCGAGAGACCTCGTGCGCGGCAAACAAGGGCAACAGCGCGGGGGGCTCTCCGTGTGTGTGTTCAGCGAACGGCCTCGCTTGCTCAACGGAGCAGTATACTGCAGCAGGTCAAACAGGCAAAAATTGAGTTCTGTCAATGCTCGTTTCTGCTTTCAGATCCGCTGGAGCGAAAAATGAAGAGGGAGAGCGTTCCAGCCCCGTGACGCGGGGCATCGCGACGGCGCAGACTTTCCATTTCCTTCCCCCCGTTACACACACACGCAACATACACACTTCGACGCGGCTGACATTTTAAACTCCACATGTCGGCACTGTGCCAGGAACGGCTTGGAACCTCCCCCGGCTGCGTCGCGGTACCGCCAGACTGCGAAAGCGCTTCGGAAGGTGAGTGACTCTTAAGACCGCATCACACCGTAGTACATCGTCAACACTATACTATAGAAAGAGCGCCGATGCAGCGCTCACTTGAACGTAACAGTGGTGCCGTGCTGCATGAGTGCCTATCACTAATGTAATGCCCAGTCAGCGCTGTTTCCAAACAGCTAATACCGCTGAGTTTGCGTTTTCGTATACCTGAAAATAAGCCTCATCTCGCGCCTTTTCTTTTTCTGTTTTAACGAAAAATTAGCAGGTGACTGAAATAAAGAACTGTGTATTTATATGCAAGTCGCTGAGTGTTAAAAAAAAAAAAAAAACTCTTCTTCAAAAACGTGTAGCTCTTTTATTTTCTTATAAGACTCTGAGCCCTGATCACTATTGTATAGAAGGCTGGATCGCGGATCGGAGGCTTGTCTTGCTGAGCGCCTTAACTCGTCAAACACAAAGTTGGGGCCGAAGTTGACGGATCGCACCGATTGGTCTATCACGACGATGACTTTGCGCTTTTTTCGCCGACGTCCAATAGGCGCGCTCCGCGAACTTTCAGCTCCAACTTTGTGTTTTACGAGTTTAGGGCCCCTGGTGTTGAGTGGCGCCACCGGCGGCCATCGCTTGACACCAGCTAATGTATGGGAGAATTTGGGAAAACTGTAATTTCTTACCTTAGTTCGTAGGTTGATGTCGACGATGAAACTTTTATCGTGTTTTCCGGGAATGACGATTAGTATTCTGGGGGCAAATATCAAAAGCGTTAGAATAGAAAAAAAAAACTTAATAAATGTTTACCGGTTAAGGTGTTAGGGTTGCGACATTGTTGGGCGTAAACTGTGATACAGTTCAATGAGAGAAGGGTTTTCGAGAGTCAATGGGGTGTCGTTCCTGATCTCGAAGTTATCGGAGCTTAGCAGACGATTTTGCAATGTAAGGCCTTTACTGGGGACATTCGCATCGCCTCAAGCGTTTGTACAGAGTACTTCTGGCGCAAGTTTTTACCTTGATCTACAGTGATGGCGTCTGTGACGAACTGAAGCTCGGAGCGTGTCATTTATTTGTTGAACGTGTCATTTATATAGCAACTGAGGCAAGTAATGCCGGCACAGTCGGTGGTGCTCCGGCAAATTTGTGGAATCGGCGTTCTGACGCTCGTGCAAAAACCGATTCGATCTCCAAACGTCCGATATAATAATCGCAGCACATCATAAGATTCTTCTTGTCTTCCAGCACCGCCCACAAGCTGCAATCTTCTTATTTTCACGCCTTTCTCCCATAGACTCCCATGTATTGCCTGGTGTCAAGCAATGGTCGCCGGTGGTGTCACCGACGGGCTTCCGATCCGCGATCCAGCTATACTACAATGCGCCCGTTTCGAAATAACACCCTCTGTTGCCAGCTGTGGAATCTCCGCACAATGTCAGACTAAAACCGCAACGACACGGCACCCTTTATGCTTTTGGTTGGAGTAGAAGAAAAAACACACCAACAGAATAACTTGATGAGCGCAGTGACGTACGTTGCACTTTTGACGCTAGTTCATTGGCTCGTTGGCCTGTTCCCGAGTGTTGGAAACAAAACAATCCTGTACTACAAAAACTTGCACCTTCCTCGATAAGACGTCGACAAAGTACTGCGAACAAGGAAAAGCATATCGCACAGCGCCGCGGTAACAGCGAGGCAACAGAAACACACAAGCGGTGAGTATGGCGTCACCCAGCCCAAGAAGTAAATGACGCGTGAGTTTTCAACCTTGGCATCCCGGCGACGTGCCAAGAGCCGCGCGGAACGCGTGGCTCCCGGTCATGGCTCTCTTCGCTCTCGCGTTTCCAAACGCTCACCATTACATCAGACTCGAGTCCTCAAGGCTCTCAATTGAAACGTTTGAAGGAATAAACGCGTCCTCAAAGTGCAAGACGAAGCTGATTGCTCTCCCCCACCCCTTTCCTTTCCTTCCTCGACCCCGTCCTTTTATTTCTCGCCAAAATCATCAAACAAAGAAGCCCTGGAAAACGATACACCAGTAAGAGATGGACTCGCTTGGAGCCTCGAAAGATGCCGCGATGCATGCGTATACGAGCATCAGGGACAAGGTCATTCTGATTTTCATGAAAGCGCGCATCCATTACCGGTGGCAAATCCAAAAGGAAAATGTAAACTTTCGCGTTGGACAGGCCCCGTCACACGTTTGCGGTGGGCATATATTACCTGGGTGGGTTTTTTTTTTTTTTTTTTTTTCTGCTTATTTTACGTAAATACTCTTTTTCTCGCCCCAAACACATTGTCTAATTTTTAAAAAAATAAAAAAAATCAAGAACTAATAACAGAGTTAACATTTAAATCAAAATTTATTGTAGTACTGAAAATAATATTTAGTAAAATTAACGAATCAGAATTTACCACATTAAAACGCAAGAGCAGTGGTATCTATTGAAGCTTTTTCTGTATTTTTAGACAAATTGTGACAATTTTAGGTTACAAGGAAACTTCAAGCAGAATAGGGGTGAATGTAAAGATAAAAACAATTTATTCCAAAAAGCAATTCCTAAAAGCCAAGCCAACTTTTGTGAATTAGACCCATTCATTTCGTCAAAAAGGCAGTAATAATATAGACCCAAGAAAATATACCGACAGTCTAAAAAAAATAATGAAACATTTGACATAAGAAAACTCATTATGACTCCTACCTTCAGTACACCTGATCAGTAGTACCTGAGATATAGCACACTTATAATCAGACTGTAGAACAGAACCTCAATCTGAATCAAAGACCGTATCAAAACCGTTATCTTTGACCCAACCAATACAAAATCAATACCCTTACCAAACGTTTGATATCTAAACCGAGCCGGAACCAAACCTCAATCCCATGTCTCGGTTACCGGTTAGCTGCAAAACGGTTCGGCGGTAACTGCGCCGGCTATCTGAGCCGCGCTTGCTAATGTCGACAGCGGAGCGAGGTCTATTTCAGATTTCACAGATGCGGTGTCAGCGGCGCAGTATTGTTTAATTATCTTCCCTTATTAAATAATTCAAATACTCTTTCCACTCGTCCCAAGGGCGGAAACTACATCGAGACCTTTACTGTGACTAGGAGCACTGGATCATGCAGGAGGCTATAATTACAACTTGGCCCTGATCGATAGTACGCGTGCATGGCACGCCGCTTACGTAATGTTTTATGCCCAACACTAATTACCGTGTTACAGCGATACACAATAGGATGCCATGACCGCGAAATAGAAGCTCCACGGATAATACCACCGCTACGCCGCGATATGCGTAACTATTGTTATGCGGTGCAGTGTATGTATATAAATAGTTACAGATTATGCATTCGTTTTCTTCATATTGGCGTTTATTGTGCACACTATTCGGCATGCATGATACGCGGATGCTGCGTTAGGAATTGACAGCAATATGTGCTTGTGTAAGGGCGCTACTTTGCCACACGAGATAGCTAGAAGCATCGTAGGAAAAAGAAAACAGCGGTGTAAACAAAACATGTAAAGGTAAATCAATACGTTTGATATAGTCACTGACAATTTACGAAACTTACAATTTATGACAATCAATTATTGCATGTAACCAATAATCTTACGGCATTAGCTGAGAAGAAAGCCTGGGAAATGTTAACGAAGCAACGAACGTGAACATAATGCAACACGGCCTGAGCTTCTAAAGCTTTCATAGACTTTTATAACTCCAGTCTTTTGAACGAATAGACTGAACAAGGCACCGTTACCATGCCCGGCGTTGACGTTAATGTAGATCTTGTAGGACTTCTGTACAATGTAACAGACGCAAAATTATAGCATATTCTCCTATATACTGACAAAGCCTGGCAGATCGCCAGGAGGAGCGGCCGCCGAAATGGAAAAGATGAAGCTGCAGACAACGGATGAGAGGAGAGCCACGTGATTGGCGCCCCGCTGCGGCGAGACGCCGAAACGCACTTCTCCCGAGCGAACAATTGTGTTTCGGGTCCTCGCCGCTGCAAAGGCTGCGCGCTGACGTCCAGGTTTCCCGAGAAATGGCTTTTTGGTGCTCTGTGCCACCAGACCCTCGCGCTCCAAATCTGCGACTGGGCACTCTACGGCTCCGTCGTCGATCTGCCAGGCTTTGTGAGTACAAAGGAGGCTATGATTATAGTCTTATAGCCACTGGCAGCTCAACAAACGCGGGGCGTGCCGAAACCCCGACGTCCGGCGCTCGCTTTCGAACCGTCAGTAGAGATAATGGTGGCTATTTTGCATCCATCCACTAATCATTCCAACCAGGGGCCCTAATCTGGACAGTTTTCATTTCATTTATTTCATATATTTACCTTGAAAACCCGTTTCCAATTATTAAACAAGGGACGCTAAGAATGCACTGTTTAAACGCAAGAAGAAAAAAAGTGAAAGCCGTTTACAAATCCCTGTAACGCCGAATTGGAGCGCAGCTCTTGAGGAGAAGGGGGGAAGGGTGCTGAGGGGAGGGTAGACCCCTCCTCCTTCTCCTCCTCCTCCCCTCATTCTTTAATATGCTCCGGGGGGCGGGTCACGTGACCTCGGGGAGGCGTGACCTGGGGGTCACGTGACCTTGGGTGTCACGGGGGGGTCACCTCAAGGTCAGGTGACCCCAAGGTGACCCCCACGTGACCTCAGGGGGTCACGTGACCTTGGGGGTCACGTGACCTCAGAGGGGTCACGTGACCTGGGGGGTCACCTTGGGGTCACGTGACCTCAGAGGGGTCACGTGACTTGGTGGTCACGTGACCTTCAAAGGGTCACGTGGGGTCATCTTGGGGTCACGTGACCTTGAGATGACCTTGGGAGGAGTCACGTGACCTCGAGGGGTCACGTGACCCCCAAGGTCACGTGACCTTCAGGGGGTCACGTGGGGTCACGTGACCTTGAGATGACCTTGGGAGGGGTCACGTGACCTGGAGGGGTCACGTGACCTTGAGATGACCTTGGTTACGCCGACGGCGACGCCAACGGCGACGGCGACGCCGACGCCGCTCAAGCCGG